CAGGAGTTGGTTCTCTTCTTCCACCATGTGAGTTCTGGGGATCAAACTCAGGTCATCCGGCTTAGCTGCCAAGTGGCCACTGAGCATCTTGCTGGCCCTAAAGCTATGTCTTAACCCCCACCCCCACAAGGCACCAACTGACTGAGCCTTACAATTAACTGTGGACCCCCCATATAGGGAGCCAGTGGTGAAAGCTTTCCCAAGGAGGCCCTACTCCTAAGGCCCCACCTCAGGTGTGCTCATGAGGACAGTCATCACAGAGGAACTTCCAGAGTTCGGTGTCCCAGGAAAGAGGGGAAGCCGAAACCAACCATGGACCAAGGAATCCTTCCAAAGGAAAGTCAGGCTGTAATCAAGGAACTCGCCCCAGCCCTAGGAAGGGGTTTGCTGTGCCTGACCAGTGAGAACTCAGAAGGGTTTGATCAGAAGCCCCGCCCTCACTTGCTTCCCTTTTCTGAATGAAGTCTGACCCGCTTCTTGCCCCGCTGGTGGACGCTGGGTGTATGTGTGGAGTGTAGACAATTTGTTTAATGTGTCAATTGCCACCAGCAACTGCCTGAGAGACTGCTCAGTGCAAGGGCGACATGGGACTCGGGGTAATGTATTCTGTAAGGAAAAACAGGTATTTGGCTCAGAAAGGCACTGACATACAAATATCTGAGTTTTCATCTTCCTGAACGCTGGGCCAAGCTTCACTTCCTCATAGGGACTGCCAGGTTTAGCAAGTAAAAGTACAGGATTTGAATTTCAGATAAACAACCAAGAATTTCTCAGCATAAGTGTGTCCTGTGCAATATTTGGAACATGGTTAAAGTATGAAATTATTCATGATTACCTGTGTTTCCTCCTTTGCTGTAGATGTGGCCACATGGCAGTTCTGCTCCATGGAAGGAAGGTTCACGGGAACAGGGTTAGTGTCCTCCAGGCTGACCCCTCAGTGTGGATGCTTCGGGAAGTAGAGGAATCAAGACACGCTTCCCCGTGTCTTGACAGGATGGGCCCCGTCCCCAAACCTGTACTAGACTACAGTGTAAACAAGACAGAAACCTCTGGGCCAGAGAGATGGCTCGGTGGAGTAAAAGGTGCTTACCACATGATAACCTGATTTTGATGCCCGGAACCTACTGGTGTTAGAAGAGAACCAACTCCCAGAAGTGCTCTCCCTCTCTCGTGTGTGTGTGTGTGTGTGTGTGTGTGTGTGTGTGTGTGTGTGTGTGCACGCACATGCAGATCCACCGAGCTCTGCCTCCCGAGTGCTGGGATTAAAGGCGTGCGCCACCACCGCCCGGCTGGCCTGACACGTGTCGTCATTCTCCTACCTTAGCCCCCCGAGTGCTAGGATTAGAGGACACCATGACCAGCTGAGCCTCATGCATCACACACACACACACACACACACACACACAGACACACACACACACACACACACACGCTCCCACTTGAGCTGCCCCACATCTGCCAGCCTCTGCACAGCTTCTCTTTGCCCCTCCTAGCACCTGAACCTTTCCCTTATTTGTGTTCATGTATGACTGCACTGCACACCTGCAAGCAGAGACCAGAGGTCTGCCTTAGTTTTTTCAGGTGGGAGTGATCCGGGTTACGTCTCCATCGTGCAGAGACGCTAAACGCACATCACTGGACCTCCAGCCATCATCCCCTATCTGCCCTGTGAAGGGAGGAACACATGAGGGTTATCCCACCCGAGAGGATGTTGACTTTCTTGAAAGAAGGTTCCCCATGAAGACGTGGGGCTTGAGGACTCAGCTAGTGTCTTACCTTTTTCTCTTTCTGTGGCAAAACACCATGACTAAGGCAACTCATAAAAGAGAGTGTTTAACCAGGTGGTGGTGGCACACACCTATAATCCCAACTCTCAGGAGGCAGAGGCAGGTGGAGCTCCATGAGTTCAAGGCCATCCTGGTCTACAAAGTGAGTTCCAGGACAGCCATGGCATGTACACAAAGAAACCCTGTCTTTGAGAAACCAAAGAAGAAAAAAAAAAAAAAGGTGTATATAAAGAAAGTATTTAATTGGGCTTATGGCTTCAGAGGGGTAGCGTCCATGATGATGAAGGCACAGTAGCAGAGCAGCTCAGAACTCATAACTTGATCTGAAAATAGGAGAAGAGGGAGAGAGGGACAGAGAGGGAGGGGGAGAGGGAGAGAGAACTCTGTGGGAATGCCACAAGTCTTTTGAAACCTCAAAGCCTGCCTGTACCTCCTAATCCTTCCCAAATAGTACTTTCTACTAACCAACTAGGAACCAAGTATTCAACCATGTGAGCCTATGGGGGTCATTCTCATTCAAAGCACCACAGCTACGTTGTCTGGACAGTGAGCCCCTCCCCAGGGTCTCCATGTCAGGCTTGCCTGTGCACACACCACCACCACCAAGTTCAGCTTCTTATATGTGGGTTCTCGTCATCAAACTTGAGTCCACATACTTGTGTGGCAAGCATTTTTATAGAATGGGTTATCTCCCCAGCTCATCTTTCTCCTCCCCGACTCAGTGTTATCTGTATCTAGTGATGATGTTGTCATGTTAATGACAATGATGTTGTCACTTCGTGTTAATCCGATGCACCGTTCTCATGGCTACTCTGTGGGATCCATGCAACCATGCCCTTACAGTCTGTTACATTAGCTTTCCCTGGGGAGATATGAGCACATGTCCACCCACCCTAAGACAGGGTACCAGCAGCAAACCCAAGAGCCTAGCTTGGTGAGTTTAATTAGGTCAGCCGACAGGAGTATGGGCAACTTCAGCACCAAAGAAAAGTGCCCTCTGCTCCCAGCAACTAGTAATGGCTTATATATCCCAAGGGAGGGGAAGGACCTTGAACAGCACCTCCTGAGAAGGAGAGCACCTCCTGAAGAATGCTCCCTCCCCTCCATGGTGGAATGTTGCTAGGCTGAATCCTGTGCAGGTAACCACTCTCCAATGTTAACCAGCAGCAGCCTTGCTGTGCCTGGATGACATGCAGATGAGAAGCCTTTGCCTAAAGCCTTATAGTCCCTCCCTCACCTCTCCCTTTGGACAGTCCCATCCCAGCACAGCTGCAACATTCACGATCCTGACCCCACCCCCCAGCCCCCACCCCCCACCCCCCACCCCCGCCGGATCTGAGTCCACTCTTCCCAGCACATGAATGAGCTGATGGCATGATACACTCAGCATGCCCAAAATGCAGCTATTCTCTTGTTAACAATTTTCTATACGCTTTCCATGTGATGCTATTTCATTTTCACAATTATCCTAGAAGACCGTGTTATCATTCCTTCCCATGTCCAGTGCAGTTTCTCCTCAGCGACCCAGAGACCTGGTCCCAGGGTCCATGAGGGAATCGAACGCGCGCGCGCGCGCACACACACAACATAGATTTTGTATATAGCCTGTATAACCCTCTTGCATATTTCAAATATCTCTATAATACTTAATATGTAAATGGTACATGAATAATCGTATTGTGTTATTTAGGAAGTAATGAAAAAAGTCAATATACTCAGTACTGATTTCTTTTTTTCAACTAATTGTTTCTATTGTTTGGTTGTTGTTTTTTTCTTTGTTTGTTTTGTTTTGTTTTTGGGGACAGCCTCACTATGTAGTTCTGGCTGTCCAAGGACTTGCCATGTAGACCAAGATGGCCTCGACCTCACAGATATCTGCCTGCCTCTGCTTCCCAAAGGCTAAAACTAAAAACCTGCCTCATTCTACTCTTTCTGATGGGTGTGCTGGTACACATATATACTCCCAATCTGGAGGGTGGAGAGTTCCAGGCCAGCCCAGGCTATGTAGAGTTTAAGGTCAATGTAGACTGTACCATCAGATGTCCCCCAAATCCCAAAGTAATGTCTACCTTACTGTCTGGGAGTGACTGAGTCTATGGATAAGAACCCGGTAGACAAGGCAGTCAATTGTATAATGCACATGAGTGAAGTCAGGCTTACAGTTCCATGTCTGCCTCAAGTGCACACAGCTTGTACACAGTGGGCTGATCCTGAATCCTGATCTTATAGTAACACCTCGGTTCCCCCCAAGCTGAGCTCTCCTTGCTTCACATCCATCTGCTGCAGTCATTGTCTGGCTGGGGATGTAGTTGTGCTGCAACACTTACCCAGCTGGTGTAGGGTTCATCCCCAGCACTACCACCTCTACCAGAGGGGTGGGGTGGGGGAAGTAACATTTTCATTCACTACTTTTTGTTGTTGTTGCTGTTTTTCAAGACAGGGTTTCTCCGTGTAGTTTTGGTGCCTGTAGACCAGGCTGGCCTCGAACTCACGGAGATCCACCTGCCTATGCCTCCCGAGTGTTGGGATTAAAGGCGTGTGCCACCACCACCACCACCACCACCACCACCACCACCACCACCACCACCACCACCACCCGGTTGATATATTTATTTTTATGCATACATGTATCTGTGTGAGTGTATTCCACATGTATTTGGGGAACTCACGAAAGCTAGAAGAGGTCAGACCCCTTGGGGCTGGAGTTCCTAGAGGGGCTCCCAACAAGGTTGCTGGGAGGCAGCATTCTCCAGTCCTCTGGAAGAGCAGTAAGCACTTTGAACCACTGAGCTAGTTCTCTAGCCCTAAGATTTTTTAAATATGTTCACGTATGTTTCTTTGTGGGAATGCGCACAGGAGTGCAGCTTCCCCGGGAGCTAGAGTTGTAGGTAGTTGCTGTACTCGGGTCTTCTGCAAGAGTACACCGGGCTTTTAACTACTGAAACATCTTTCCAGTGCCCCCCCCCCGCCCTTTTTTTAGGGGCAGGGAGAGGGCTGAGGCAGGGTCTCACTATGTAGCTCTGGCTGTTCTGGAACTCAGAGATCCACCTACTCTGCCTCCGGAGTGGGACTGAAGGTTTGCACCACATTGGGCTGGGCTTTCCAATCTTCCTGCACAGCCTCACAAGTGCAGGGGATTGTATGTGTGCATCACACCTTTAACTAAACCTTTAATTCATCTTCGATGTAAAAAAATTCAAGTAGAGCCAGGCAGTGGTGACGCACGCCTTTAATTCCAGCACTTTAGAGGCAGAAGCAGGAGGTTCTCTGTGAATTTGAGGCCAGCCTGGTCTTCAGGGTGAGTTCCAGGACAGCCAGAGCTGTTACACAGAGAAACTGTCTTGAAACAGAAACAAAAATTTCAAATAGAGAAACAGAAAGCAAAAAGTGTCCTTTATGTCTCAGAATTTCCCACTTCTGGACCAGCAGGGCTTGTCCAGTGAAGATGCTTGTCCTCAAGCCTGACAAACCAAGTTTGGGCCCCAGGACTCACACGGTAGAAGAACCAAGGCCCACAGAAGGTGGTTCTGACTTCATGTGTGTGCTATGGATGTTCATGTTCACACACACTAAAAAGTGCTGCTTTTAAAAGAATTTACCACTTCCCTAATGAATGCATCTGTGTACTGGCCAGCAACTCACTCTAGACATTTGAGGACAGGGAGGTGTGCCTGAGTCTTCCTTAGTCCAAAATAGGCATTAACAAACAACTGGTGGAAAGAATCCATTGAAAGTCTCTTAATCCAGCAGCACACTTAACATTTTTAGATCCAGACTTCCGCTCACCCACCCCAGAGGGACGGCTTCTTCTTCTCCCCCCTTCATTAAAGAACAAAAAGGTATGTACCTCTAGGTCTGCAGTGTCTGGTTTGGATTTTAGCAGGGTCTTAGAAGGAAATGACTTTTCTCTAAACTGTGGCCGCCCAACCCAGCTGTGGCATTCTTAGACCTCGGGTAAACAGGAAGCTTCCTGCCTGGGCCCTTCATGTTTCTCTCTCAAGACTATTAAAGACTGTTAATAGGCCGGTAAAAGGACAGCTGCTGGCCATAAAGCCAGCCCATTCCTTAGAACCTTAGCAACTAGCCCTCCACGGTCAGAGACCACACCCTTCCCCAGGTGTGGCTCCCCTAGCAGGGGTCCTCAGGTGTAGGGTTTCTGGGTGATGAGGTCTTGAGACAAAACAACAGAACACAGCCGCTCTGTGGGAGGCGAGTCACCTCTCCTAGGAGGGGAACAATCCCTTTTAGTTATCCCCCAAAAGGAGGCAAAGTGATGCAGGGACCAAAGTACCCAGTGCGCCAGCAAACTGGACCCCAGCTCCTCCCACACATTTATTTGGGAGGGAGGGGGAGCCCTAGGATTTGCAGCTGCTGAAGAGGCGCAGTCTCTGCCAGCTGGAGGGACACTGGGGCAGAGGTGATCATCTTTTGCCAAGAAGGGCACTCGGTGTCTTGGCAGAAGGCAGAGGGCTGCCCCAATCTGTGTGTACATTTTCAGTAGCATTTGACTCTGGACCAAATGCTTGGCTGTGCTAGTGCCGTGGTGATGGGTGGGAATGCTCGTTGGCCAGGCTGGCTGGAGGCTCCCACGGAGGGTGCTGGGCCTCGGCCAGGAGCTTCCCTTCAGCTGGCAAGTTGAGCGTTCTGTCACGGTTGGAGGGAGTGTGTCCAAATTCCAACTCTCAGCTTTCCAGAAGCCGCAGCTGATTGCCATCTGTTTTGAAGAATGCTGCTTATTGGAATTTCTGGCTCAGTGGGGAGTCAGAAGGATAATGACACAGAGCCAAACTCTTACCTGGCCCGAGAATGAAGAAACACTGCTGGCCAGGGCCAGCGTTTTTAGTTAGACAGGGTCTTATTCGGTAGCTGCCCTCACTCCCCTCCTGCCTCAGCATCCTGGAGTGCTGGGATAGGCGGGTCAGTGACATTACTATTAGCAACCAAGAAGAGGCGGGAAGCCGGGCAGACGCTGCATTAGACAGCCTTGGCCTCGGCTCTGATGTGCCCCATCAGGGCTGTGGTGCTGGTGCCTGTGAGTCATGCCTACCAATCAAGCAGGAACTTTTGAGGATGAAACCCAGTCATCCTGGGCGAGCCTTTTCCACCAGGTGTCACCTCTCCCCGTGGCAGCTCCCACTCAGGGTTGTTCCCGGGTGGGGGTGGGGGTGGGAGGGTGGTTTCTAATTGATCTAAGGAAATAGAGGACTTTCTGCTTAGGTCACATTTGAGCCTCCAGGTGTTTAGATTGGGATCTGTTTAAGGTAATTTCAGATTTAAGCGCTCAAAGACCTAAACCATACCCCGGGGGACTAGTACCTTCCTAAACCAAATCCCAGGGAACAAGCAGGTAAAGAAGGCTCTGAAAGTAGTTTAGGATCACAGAGCTGGAACATGAGGATTAGGATTCAGAGGTCAGATCATGTGCTCTGACCCAAATCATTTATTATTGAAATTAGGGCCTCACATGCTTTACTACTGAGTTCTAGCCCCAAACCCCTTTAATTTACAAAAAGTAACTCAGCAGAGCCTGTGGCACACACCTTTAGTACCAGCACTCAGGAGGCAGAGGCAGGTAGATCTCTGTGGGTTCAAGACCAGCCTGAGCTACATTGCAAATTCCAGGACAGCCAGAACCCTGTCTCAACTTCCGTGACTCCCTGCAAAAGGTGATTCATTGCGAATACAAGTTTTTAAATGTTCATAGTGTGTAGAATTTTTTTTTTTTTTTTTTTTTTTTTTTTTTTGGTTTTTCAAGACAGGGTTTCTCTGTGTAGCTTTGCGCCTTTCCTGGAACTCACTTGGTAGCCCAGGCTGGCCTCGAACTCACAGAGATCCGCCTGCCTCTGCCTCCCGAGTGCTGGGATTAAAGGCGAGCGCCACCACTGCCCGGCGAATTTTTTATATAAATGCACACATCATGAAGAAAACTTCAGACACGTCTCACTCAGAGCAGGGTCCCTTTTCCCTCCTTTCACTGTACTGTCCCCATCATCTTGAGGGGACCAGGATGTCAGCTAGAGCTTTGATCAAACACTTAATTTAAATTTACACATGGGGAGCCAGGTGGTGGTGGCCTGCACCTTTAATCCCAGCACTTGGGAGGCAAAGGTAGGCAGATCTCTGTGAGTTCAAGGCCAGCCTGCTATAGTGAGTTCCAGGACAGCCAGGGCCACACAGAGAAACCCTGTCTTGAAAAACAACCAGTACGAGGTTTAAGATTGTCTGATGCTTGTTGATCAGGGAGATTTGAGACAGCTCCACTCAGCAGAGAAAACAGTTCCTCTTCTAAACTCACACCACCCAGGACAAGAAGAGCACTCCTGTGCTCACATTCTCCATTCCTCCAGAGGAACGGGGAGATACTAATGGACAGTGCTCTCAGGGATGTGCAGGCAGTCCCAGGCAGTGAAGCTTTTAGCCCATGGGTTAAATCAGTTTCCAGTTTGTCCCTTGAGACTCCAGGTCAAGTCCAAGGCAGGAAGTTGCAATGGAGGAGTAGTCCCAGGAGCCAGTAAGTCAGGAAGTAGCCTAGAATGCATCTTGTGACTGGAGAACAGGCCTTCCAGTTGTATAAGAGTTTCATGATACAGTTTCTGGGGGTCTTTTGTCGTGGTGGGGAGTTTTCTGCAAGCTTCTCAGGTACTGTGTCTACAGATTTCAACAGTGGTTCTTGATTCTGAAGCAAGTAAGCTGGAAACCAGTACACAATAGGAGTGGAAGAGCCCAAAAATCGTGTGAGAACCTGAAAAGAAAGCCATATTGATTGGAGCACCAGTGATGCGGCTGGGTGAACCATGCCTGACAACTAGGAAATCACACTGGAAAATTCAGCACAGCTCAGACCTGCCTGGAAGCTTGGTGGGCCACCAGCCAGACAGCCTTGAGTTTCCAATAAGCAGGGTCCCAGGCTAATCACCACAATAATGGGCCAACCAATACTAAAGTCTCTACAGGATCTTAGTTTAGGCCACAGTCTCTAAACTTTAGTCTGTTGGAGGTTGGTAACCTGAGGAGGCTCTTTATCACACGGGCTGGGCTGGGGGCAGAGAAACAGCAGGGCCTGGTTCAACCTTCCTCATCTCACAGTTCTGAGCCAAATCTCCAAGAGCTCTCACCAACCCTGCCTGCACTCACTTCAAAGCTGATCCAGTCAGTGACACAGATGGCTATTTTTTACTTCCCCGAAACACATGGCTCAAAGACGACCACAAATTGTCAATATATACCTGTGAGGGGCGGGCAGGTCAGCATAGGAACAGGTCTTCCTTGGAGACAGCTAAGAACTTTAAAACTGGACATAAGACCAAATCCCTGGTCCTGTACTGCCACCCCCGCCCCCGCCACAAACACTGGACAAGATGTCTACTGCCAGTGCTCAAGACACCCTAAAAGACAACTCGGGCAGTCTGTGTACCAGGGAAAGGCCCCAGGAGAACCTGTTCACTCCTACACTCCAGTGAACCAAGTCCTCAACTGCCTTCACACCTTTGCTTGTGCCCATCCCTTCCCGCATCTGCCTGGAATGTTCTCTGCTGTTTCTTTGTTTTGGAGATAGAATTTCACATAGTGCAGGCTGACCTCAAACTCTGTACACAAGGATGGTCTTGAACTGACCTTTTGAGACAGTTTCTCACTGAACCTGGAGTTCACTGATTGGCTAAATTGTGTGTCCAGTATAAGAACCATAGACTGTTTTTTATGTGGGTGCTAAGCTGAGGATGCAACCTCCTATTTTTTTTTAAAAGATTTATTTATTTATTATGTATACAGTGTTCTGCCTACATGTATGCCTGCAGGTCAGAAGAGGGCACCAGATCTCATTATGGATGGCTGTGAGTCACCATGTGGGTATTGGGAATTGAACTCAGGACCTCTGGAAGAGCAGCCAATGCCCTTAACCGCTGAGCCGTCTCTCCAGCCTGCAACCTATGTTTGCACTGTAAGCATTTCATCAATTCAGCCATCTCCCCAATCCTACATGCTTCTTACGTTTTTTTCCCTCTTCAGAACCCATTTTAAATATGATGCCTTAGTGAGTTAACTACTTTTTCACATTCACAATAAATACACTAATTGATTGTGTGTGGGTCAACTCTCTTCTATCATGTGGATTCCAAGGACTGAACTCAGGTCAATCATGCTTGGTAAGAAGTGCCTGAACCTTTCCTTCAGTGCTGGGGATTGAACTTGGGGCTCTCAGCTGCCAGGCAAGTGCTCTACCACTAAGTGATCCTGTCAGTACAACTGCAGTGTTTTATCTGCATTTGCTTGGATTCTTGAGCAGGATCTCCATATGTAGCTCTAGTTGGCTGGGAATGTACTATAAAGACCAGGCTGGCTGGCCTTGAACTTGGGACCATCTCCCTGTCTCTGCTTCCCAAGCCCTGGAAGTATAAGTATGTGTCATCATGTCTGGTCCCCTGGAACTGGAGTCATAGACAGCTATGAGCTGCTATGTGGGTGCTGGGAATTGAACTCAGATCTTCTGGAAGAGCAGTCAGTACTTCTAACTGCTGAGCCATCTCTCCATCCTGCCTGGGTGGATTTTACTTTTTGTTTTGAGACAGGGTTTCACTATGTAGCCTGGACTCAAACTCAAGAGACCCACCCACTGGGACTTATTTATTTATTTATTTATTTATTTGAAGGAGTTTCTCTCTGTGTAGCTCTAGCTATCCTAGAACTCACTGTAGACAAGGCAGGCCTTAACTTTACACCTGCCTCTGCCTCCTGAGTGATAGAACTGAAGTCATATGCCATCACTGCCTGGCTATATATGCACATTATTTTTAAAAATAACAACAGTAGTATAATTTGAAATAAATATGGTCTCATATAACCCAGGCTGGCCTTAAACTCACTATATAGTAAAGAATGACCTTAACCGTTTTTGGTTTTTTGAGGCAGGGTCTCACTATATAGCTCCCCCTGCCTCCACCTCCCAAGTGCTGGGATTATAAGCCGTTTTATGCAGTATTGGGAAAGGACTTGAGATCTTCATGCATTCTAGGCAAGCAGTCTACCAACTGAGCTGCATCCCTAGCCCCTAATTTTATCTAATATGTCTATCTCGGTGTTTATACCGTGAGACTCATTAAGGCAGTAATTTTATCTTACTTATGTCCCATCTCAGAGTTCTAATTTAGATTCTGGTACAAAGAGAGCCCCAGGTTTGTGTTTGTCTAGCTATTCAGCCCATGTGGATCTGAAAACTGCTTTGTAGTCCAGGCTGACCTTTAATTTAAAACCCTCGGCGGCCGCCTCCGCCTCCTCCTCCACCTCTTCCTCCGCCTCCTCCTCCACCTCTTCCTCCTCCTCCTCCTCCTCCTCCTCCTCCATGCTGGGATTATAGCTGTGCCTGACCACATCTGACTGCCCACAGTTGTTGACTAAATTAGGCATGGGCCATCGAGTGAGAAAGTTACCGTCGCCCCTGACTATGAGGTTTTGTCTGTTTCCACACAGACACTCCAGGTAGCACCCCTCACCTGAACATGCATGCACAGGCTTCCGGAGAGTATCCCTCACCTGAACATGCATGTACAGACCTCCAGGTAGTACCCCTCACCTGAACATACATGTACAGACCCCAGGTAGCATCCCTCACCTGAACATGCATGTACAGACCTCCAGGTAGCACCCCTCACCTGAACATGCATGCACAGACCTCCAGGTAGCATCCCTCACCTGAACATGCACGTACAGACCCGAGAGCATCCCTCACCTGAACATGCATGTACAGACCTCCAGGTAGCACCCCTCACCTGAACATGCATGCACAGGCTTCCGGAGAGCAGCAACACTGCGGCGTGGACCAGGTACACAAACACCTTCGGACAGAGGAAGCCAGGATGGGACTTCTCTAGGGTCTTACTGTCCTTGCTCCTGTGCAGCCCAAGTGTAAGGCAGAGCCAAGGGTGGGTGGTCACATATGTCCAGGTTGCCCACACAACCAGTACAGCCACTGGTGCAGCTAGCAGAAAATTGGGCACCTGCCTGAGCTCATAGTACCGCAGAAAGCCAACATTCCAGTAGACATCCTGGATGTAGCTGTATACGAGGGGAAGGTCCCAGGAGCACCAGGGAGGCTCCTCTTCTCCTGTAACCCTGTAGCCCTTGTCCACAGCTAACTGCACCAAGGGCTCAGGAATGGAGTGGGCAGAGCCTGGGGAACAGAACTGGCTGTAGGCATAATACTGAAAGAGAGCAAAGGGAAGGCTGACCGTGAGCACCGACAAGCAGACAGAGGTCAGCAGCTTGATGAGCTGTTTCAGCGGGTTCAGCACCACAAGAGAAGAGAAAAAGCCTCTGCACTGAGAATGCACGAGGAAGCCGACACTGACCAGCCCATTGGAGCGCACCCCAGTGGCAAGAGCAAAAAGCAGCCCACTGGCCCAGCTCCGGCCCCTCTCCAGCTGCCCCATGGCGCTGAATGTCAGGAAGGCAAACAAAGCTTCCGAATAACCAGCTGCCAAGAAAACATTGGCAGGGCTGAGGCAGAAGAGCATGGCTGCGTAAAAGGCCTGGCGGGGACAGCGCAAAACCAGACAACCCAAATCATGAAGCGCGATGGCGGCTAGCACAGAGAACAGGAAGTTGAGCAGCGCCACGGAGAGCAGCAGGCAACTGCGCCGGCTCAGGAGGCCCTGCAAGGGCTTCAGCAGCTCAGCTCCCGTCATCAGGGCCACGGGGAAGCCGGGGAGGAAGGCAAAGTTGTGCTCATAAAGGTAGCCGTGCTCAGCAATAAACAGGAAGTGTTCTGCATCCCATCGAGACAGACCACCCAGGAGACCTTCCACAAGCTGATCCACATTGCCCGAGGGGGCCAGGCGGGGAGGAGAAAAGGCATCTGCATGGTGATCTGGGATGATGGCATTGAAGAGTGCCTGTGGGGTGAAGGAGAACCAGGATGTTGGTGAGTAACTGGAAGAAAAGAATTACCACTTAATAAAATGAGAAAAACAGACTTGTTGCTATGGCTTGTCTGTGTGTGTGTGTGTGTGTGTGTGTGTGTGTGTGTGTGTGTGTGTGTAAGGAGCTTCAATGATAAATAGTTGAATAATATTGAAATAATATTGAAAATAAATAGCAGAGGTCAACCAAGCAGGAGATGCCTGAGTCTACAAATGAGAAGCCAGATCAGGATTCATATAAATTGGAGATGGAAGTAGGGATGGTACCCCCCAGAATGAAGGAGCCTGCCTGGAGAGGAAGTAGAGGTAGAGGAGAGATCTGAAGACAAGAGCCCATCAAGGATGAGGATGGAGTCCTCCAGACAAGGACGTAAGGATAAAGCATGGAGAGAAAGCAGGAAGCCAGGCATGCTGGCATAAGCCTTGAATCTCTGAACTCAGGAGCCAGAGGCAGGCAGGTATCTGTGGGTTCCAGGCCAACCTGATAGACATAATGAGTTCCAGGCACACAAACAGGAATAGTGAATGATGAGTGAGCTGTGGGAAACCCAGGGGAGAACGGAGTCTTAGAACCAAGTGAAAACCGGGATTGAGAAATTGCTGAATGCTGCTGACAGGGCCCAAGACAGACCGGAACTGAAAATGATCACAGACTTCAACAATGTAAAGGTCACTGGTGACCGATTAGAGCAATTTCAGCAGAATGGTGGTGAGACGCCACCTAGCTAACAGAAAGGGGGTGCATACAATGATTTTGAGTTGTGAAGATGGAGAAATGGGGTAATAGAGCAATGTAAAGTAAAAAGGACAGAGCTGAATGTATGTGGACAGGGGCTCGAACTTGAACCAGAGCTGAGACTGACCTTGAATTTGGTCTTTCTGCCCCTGCATGTCCCAGGGCTTGTTACAGGTGTGTGTGTGGGGGAGGGGCCTGGGACTGGGAGAATAAGAGAAATTTTTGCATATCACTGGAATAAGCCAGTGAAGAGAAACCACTGAACAGGCAGGAGGCTGGAAGGAACCCTGGGCAGGCAACAGGGCCTGCACCCGCTGGACAGATGGATGAGCAGAGGGTTCATCTTACTTTCAGGAGTGAAGCCACAAAGACACATGGAGGTAGGCTAAGTGATGAAGCAATCTGATTTTCTTGACTTTGTATCTAGGAATGAGAATTCCTACTTGAAAGTACTGGGAAAAGTTATTATGTATTTGTAAAGAGTGTGGAGAGACAACCCAGTTAAGAGGCCCGCTGTGTTGGGGAATATTATTTTAAAGTGTGTTACTTTTGTTTATGTTGCATTTGTTTAACTCTGTGAAGCTGTGTTACTGTATCTGTCTAACACACCTGATGGTCTAATAAAGAACTGAATGGCCAATAGCAGGGCAAGAGAAAGGATAGGTGGGGCTGGCAGGCCGAGAGAATATATAGGAGAAATCTGGCAGAGACAGAGATCTAGGAGCAAGAGAAGGAGGAGGCTATCAGGGGCCAGCCACCCAGCGACACAGCCAGCAAACAGTAACAAAGAAAGGTATACAACAGAGAAAGGAAAAGCCCCAGAGGCAAAAGGTAGATGGGATAATTTAAAGTTAAGAAAAGCTGGCAAGAAACAAGCCAAGCTAAGGCTAGGCATTTATAATTAAGAGTGAGCCTCCGTGTGTGATTTGGGAGCTGGATGGCGTGCTCCCCCAAAAGAGACAGAGTAAGAAAACAACCAACGACCCTGATGCTGTTGCTCTTACAGAGGACCTGGGTTTGATTGCCAGCACCCACATGGTGGCTCACAACTGTCTAACTCTAGTCCCAGAGGATCTGATGCCCTTCTTTGGCCCCCTTGGGCACTGTATGCATGTGTACACATGCATGCACACAAGCAAAACACTCATTCGCATGAAATAATAAATCTTAAAAAGAAATTGTAGGGCTGGAGAGATGGCTCAGAGGTTAAGAGCACTGACTGCTCTTCTAGGGGTCCTGAGTTCAATTCCCAGCAACCACATGGTGTCTCACAACCATCTCTAATGAGATCTGGTGCCCTCTTCTGGCCTGCAGTCATACATGCTGTATACATAATAAATAAATTTTAAAAATTAAAAAAAGAACTTGGTGTTTAAAAAAAATTGTAGAATGAGGAAAACATAAAATAAGTGGTGGCTGTAAAGTCAGGCTGTGCAAACTATCCAGGAGTTTAAACAACACTGACAATCGCCAGGTCTTTCTCTTACTTAAAATGAGATTGAACAGAGCCTGGGCATTTGATTAAAAAAATGCTACATTTTTATTTATGTGTATGGGGGTATGTATATGCCAGGTCACATGTACAGGAGACAGCTTGTGGGAGTTGGTTCTCTCCTTCCACCACATGGATCACAGGGACCAAAGTCAGGTTATCAGATTTGGAGGCATGTGGCTACCCTGAGCCATCCTGCTAGCCCTGGTTATTGGATTTTTGAATTTTTCATTTTTATGTGTTTTTGAGTGTGTGTCAGAATATAATATTCAGAGTCTCACACATACTAAGTATTCTACCATTGAGTTACATCTCCATACAACACTGCATTTTTAAAAAAGTCCCCCAGGTAACTGACGTGCAAAAACATTTGAGGGAATAGGAGGGTTAATGGCTACGGGAATTCACCAAGATTTCCAGGTGGTACTAATGATGCACTTGATCTTGTATTAAAAAAACAAGTCTAGTTAATATTCTTGCATGTTTCTGGTTTTGTTTTGAATGGGTAGTCGTAGGCACGGAGGAAGCAGATCACTATATTAGCCAAGACTAGACTTTTGTCAGATAATGGAAGAAAGGAGTCGCATGTAAGCACAGGAATGATCACCACGAAGGAAAAGACTCAGCTGGGGAAGACGAAGCTGAAGGCTGATGGGTGAAGGCCACAGAAACATGGTGGGTTCCGTGGGTTACAAAAACAGATGCATGAGCAGACTCTCTGGCAGGTGTTGGCTCTGGAGCACCACCACGGAGTGATGAAGACAAGGAAGTGGGACTGTGACATGAGGCTCAGGGTGTTGAACGTATCATCCTCTTCATACGGAAACCAGAGACATCAACAGAAGCAGTGCCAGGAAGAGCGTCAGTGAGCCGGGAGTTCAAACCTTCAGAGAACCACTGTCATTGGCAGAGACGGCAGCACCAGTGGAGGGTAGCTAGGACAGAAGCTGAGAGCTGAGCTTGAGAGCTGGAAGGGGTTATATATCTTTCTGCCTCATTAGGTTGTCAGTTACTTGAGGAAAAACATGACCTTTCAGTCACAATTTAGCACAGTTTTGGGAATAGGTACTTACTATAATTTTGGTGGCTGAGCTTCATGGATTTGAGGAAATATACTGTTTCCAAATTACACTGAACGAGAACGCAGCTGTCCTGGCTCCTCCCCCAGATGCTGACTTGCCTCACTTCTCTCTCGGTTCTGCCAGGAACTCAGCTGATGCTGGTTCAGAGCCATCACTGAGGCAGGCTCTCCAGCCTAGCAACGCGAGCACAGCTCACTTAAAGGCCCATTCTCTTCTTGGTCAATTTCTTTCTTTCTTTTTCTTTTTGGTTTTTCAAGACAGAGTTTCTCTGTGTAGACCTAGCTGCCCTGGAACTCACTCAGTACACCAGGCTAACCTCGAACTCACAGAGATATGCCTAAGTGCTGGGATTGAAGGCGTGCACCACCACTGCCTGACTCATAGGTCAGTTTCTTTATCAGGCCACTGAAAACAGTGAAAAGAAATGGGATGGGGTGACAATCACAGGTCACAGCACTGGCCTCCAGGTTAAAGACACTTTGGGGATTAAAGCCAGCAGAAGCTGAAATGCTTCGTTTAATAGGGGAGGAAAGATTCAGAGCTAGAATCTCAGAGGGAAGAAAGAAAAGGTCTCTACAAAGGAAACAGCTAGGAGCCCCACATCTGGGTGACATGGAAATACACATCACCATCTCGATACAGCAACTTTAGGTGTTGACCTGTGTTCAGTCATGATCACAAACTCAGGACCTACCAAGTATAAAGCACTAAGCTAGGAACCAAGTAATTCATACATGTGTGGTTTTGATTAAAATATGCATCAAGGCAGCCTAGGGGGAGGGGCGGCAAAGGGCAAAATACTGAGAACTGGCTAAGACGGCCAGGAGAAGGAAGCGTTCCTGATGAACAGTCATAGATGGTCTCCGAACTTTCGAAGTGCCTCCTTTCTCCCCGTCAACTAACGCAGTAGGCAAACTCCAAGTAAGGGAGCCCTGGTCAACACTGAGCTGTCACACACACACACACCTTAAAAGTATCTCTGTTGGTGAGACCATCAGATAGCCAAGGTCTGTGGGAAAACCTCTAGTTTGGGCAGGGAGTTAGGGAGCCTAGGGTCCAGCTCTGGCCCTTTATCTTGCTACATAGCTTTGGACAAATCATTTAACCTGTCTGGGCCTCTGCTGCTTCGGGTGTGAGACACAAGATCAATACCACTACTAAGGCTCCTGCCCACTGTTGAGCTGCCAGATCTAAGTGTATGGGCCCAACCACATGAGGAGGCGGGCACGAGAGGAAGTGGAGAGATGAGGACCATTTATTCTTCATTCCTAGCTCAGTCACACAGTAACAGCATGTTCAGGGAAAGGATCAAAGACTGACCTGGAGCGTTAGAGTTAGGACGCGGCAGCTTATTGCAAATGTCAGCACCTCTTTCTGGGATGGGTCCAGGGGCCACATCCTCTCCTCACCAGGTCTGAGTTTCCTCTGGCTTCTAAACTCTAATACCCAAGGAAGAAAATGTTACACATGGGCCGAAAGAAAATCATAACATTCTCTTCACAGGAGGCATCCCCTTCAGCTTTCTACGGCATCTCCAGAGGGAAGACTATTTTGAAGGCAGATGGACCACTGGGTGTCACCCTGAAGCACTCTATTCTAGTCAGATAAGTTCTACATAGATAAGCTTGAAGCTGGAAAGCTAAGCTCACAGAAGTTTTAAAAGCCCATTGACTGCTTTTATGTAGGAGTCAAAGACCTGGGTTCAAGTCCCGATTCTATCACTTGCAAGTTCTCCTTCAGTCCCTCTGAGACTCCTTTATATATAAAATGGAATAAGCCTTATCTCCTCCCACCCCCATCTCACAAACCTGTCACCATGGTAAAATGGACTAAACGAAAAAGCACTACACAAATCAATGTTGTGGCTATTATTTGGCATGTGCCCTTTTCCTCTTGCCCAGAATAATAAACTAATTCCCAAACCAGAGTCCCCAAAGTGGGGCACAGAACCATACTAGAAGCCCATAATAACTACACATGCCAGCTAGCGCTCTGATGTGTGTTCAGCTGGCCTGTTAAATTAAGTGGGGAAGGAAAAGAAAACCACCGCTCAGCAGGACTTCGGCCAGCTCCCATTGCTAAAACAAACTCAGGGCAAAGACACAGGCTACCACTAGGGAAGGAGTGAAAGGCTATTTCCCATCTCCACAGGAGTGGCAACAACGTACAAAAACCCAAAGCCATTCTGAGGTGCGGAATACACTTCAAGACATTTTCTTCCTTTCTTTTTTTTAAAAAACAATTTAAAAGCGGTCGTGGCTCCTACTGTGTATAAGCAAGAGCTGCAAGCCTCCTCTTTCTTCTCTCAGGTGGCTAACACCATCCAAACTTTCAGATTCCACTGGCTTTCTGAAATTTTCTGATTCTCACTCGACTGCGCTATGCACTCACTGCCTCTTACCCTGACATACTGCTGTTATTTATGAGGACAGGGGCTTTTCATCCTTCTTCCCAGGACCTAGCAGTAAACCCATATCTGTTCTGAAGGGCAGGATATAGCATCACCAGTTCTGACTCTAGATCTAAAAATCACTGGTCCAAATATTCCTCCCATCATATTTCATGTTAAAAAGCCCGATGGCCCAGGAGGTAAAGGCACTTGCCGCCACGGTGGCCCACAAGGTTGAAGGAGCAAGGGCACTCCCACAAATTGTCCTCCGACCTCCTCACACAGGTGTGCCACGGCTACGTGCCACGGCACACTTGTAGCCACACACATATACACAAATACATGCACACTAAACAACAAAACAAACGAGAAAGTCACAGAAACCCTGTGAGAAAATAAAAGTTCTGCACCAAGGGAACGAGACTGACTAACAGCGACAGTACTTCTTTCCTGGCACCAGGGGGCACTCACTGCTTACTCCATCCCCGGGCGGCCATGAGAAAAGGAGGGCCCTTCGCACCTTCCAACTCCACATCGGTTTACCCAAGAAAGTTCAGTTTAAAGTTAAGCTTCTGAACACCCCCAGGAAGGAGTATTTGCTGACTATACACGGTATCTTCAACAGTGGGCTCACTAAACCCAAAGAAACTACAGAAACAAGCACCCCCATCTCCTCTGCCCTAGGATGAACTCATTTTTTTTTTTTTTTCCTTCACTGGCTTCCCACCTACATGCACAAGAGGCAGGGATCAGAATCCATCTCTGCACCTTGACCAGACTCGCATTCTCTTCCTCTTTCAAACTCTGGCCTCAGTGGCCACAAGAGATGCAACCCACACTTAATTTACAGTTAAACCAAGTAAAATCAAGACAGTCAATTATCCCCCTAGATATTTGCCAACTTCCCTTTGAAAGAAGCCCCTTGCCAAATCACACTCTTAACGGGCAGGACGCTTAGAACCGACCAGTTTCATTCTTTAATTTTCCCGTGAGATAGGCTCCGGAGATCTCATTAGACACGGGAGGCCGGTATAATTACCATCGCCATTTTATGGATGTGAAAACTGAGGCTCACTGGAGCCAAGTGACACGCCCACGACTTAAAGCGCCTCATGCACTACTTTCTAAAACCTTATGCCCAAAGTCATGAGCGCGTTCTGCCAGAAACACAAAGGGCATGCATTCCTTTCCAGCCAGGACCACCCAGGTCTCCAACACCTAGCCCAGGACTTCCTCCAACGACAGCGCATGTTGCTGCTGGAAGCTTATGGTGACGGGCTCTATCTGGGAAAGCCTGTTGAACTGTGAGCCCTGCACTCTCTCGGGAAGGCTCTAACATCCTCGGTGGGGTGATGCGCTCTGACCCGGGGTGCTCAGGGCCAGAGGCCTCGCAGAGCGAACGGCCTCCTGCTAAACCCCGCGGTGCCGGGAGCCCGTTCCAGCCTGTTCTTTTCCGACACAGTTCCTACCCGGGACGGGGTACTGACCCTCACCCCGAGGGAGCCACGGCCCAGGACTTCGTCCCGAGGGAACCGCAGGGCCGGGCCGGGCAACAGGGCCGGAAGCAGACGAGGGCCGGAGGCCGCAAAGGAAGAGGCGGCGCCGGGGGCCCCTGCTATGGCGGAGGGGCGGGGCTCCTCGCTTCTCTACAGCCTCCGCCTTAGTTCTCTCGTCCTCCGTTTGACAGCTTCCCTCCCCGGAGAACTCCAGCGCTCCAGAGCTGGCGCCGGGTCCTCCTCGCCCGCGCGTCCAGACCACCCCCGCGGAGCTCCAACCTCCAGCACCTCCATCCGGGTCCCGAGCGTCCCGCGCCTGCGCGCTGGCCCCGCCGACGGCGGCCCCGCCCAGCTCCTGCCCGGACTCGGAGCGCCCCGCCTCCCTGCTCGGCGGCCATGTTGACCCTGGCTGGGGCGGGGGCCGCTGTGCGCGCCGCACCTTCCCGGCGCGATGACACCTGAGGAGTTTGCCTCTCGCTCGCCGTCAGTTTGTGCGCGGGCGCTGCGCTCTCCAGCCGGCGCTCTCGCCCCAGTCCCGCCCCGCGAGCGGCCTCTGGCTTCCCGCTGTGGGCCGAGGTGGCCCCGGGAACTCCCCCGGGCCTCTTGGCCGCCGCCGGAGCCGCACGTCCTCTCCTGTCCCGCCACACCAGCCCAGCCCAGGGCCCGGCACACGATGGACAGTAGGAATAAGCTGAAGAAAGCCCTGTCGGGGTTTCTGTGGCACGCGGCGGTGCCCTGCGCCTGGGCGCGAAGAAAGTGGGGGGGGGGGATCCCCGTGACTTTCCCTTCCTCTGGCTATGGGGGACCTCGGCCCTGCCTCGGTTCCGTCCCACCGCAGGTGGCTGTGTAGGACGTAGGACGAGGAAGGAAACCTCAGAGAACACCCCCGAGGACTCCTCCCTCAAGCAGTTTCTGTCGTAGGAAGTGGCGCCAAAAGCAGAAAAAAAAAAAAAAAAAAGGAAGCTAATTCAACCAAACCGTCTGTTGGGGAGGCGCGGCCCGTTGGTACCCCTGTAACGGAAACTGTTAGAGCGACTTTGCACCCTCCCTTAAAGGAAACAGATAATAAATCCTTCTCCGTTGGATTTCTTGTTTCTCAGGATTCCAAAGCCTTCTGTGGTTTCAGTTATCTGTCCTCTCAACGTAGCTTGGGTCTGGGTTAACCTCTGGCCACAACCCTGGCTGAGGGAGGGGTTTATCTTCTGCAACAGCCACCAGTGTGGGTGGGAACAAAGAGATGGCCGCTATCTCTCCAAGCAAAGAAAACTAGCCCACATCGGTTTGGTGGGGGCCAGGTTCACGATCATTTCAGGCCCTGGGACTTAAAACTGCCCCCTGGATGCTTGTGTGTAAAGTGGATAAAGTATAAAGCATATTTTAGCGGCTGGTAAAGAGAGACAAGGAGTCTCCAAGTCTTCCAGGTTTTTCAGCGTCGTAGAAACAACGCGCGTTGTTCGTCTGAGTGAAAAGGCAACGCCTCTCTGGGCGCACTTGTGACTAGGGCCCAAGGCTGTGACTTGAATTTCTAGAGGCTCCCCAACACTCTGTCTTTAAAGACAAAACAGACATGAACTGTCCTTGTTTGTGAATTCACGGGGGAAAAGGCTCAAGGTTCTGTCTGTCCACATGGAATTCCCTCCGAATGTGCTTGTCAAAAAGGCAGGGGTCCTCTTGTGAGAAGTGACTGTGTTTGCTGGAACACCGTTTGGAGGTAGAACTTCGTCTAGCTCTTCAGTCGCACTTGGCTGCAATTTCTCCTTCCTTCCTTCCCAGCTACCCAACCCCCTCCTCTTCTGCTCTGTTTCCCGGTTCATTTTCTGGCTTCTGCTCCTACAGGAAAACAAGGAAGCTGAGTCCTGCGCTCCCAAAGCCCTGACACTCGCGCTTGCTGTTTAGACTGGAAGGGGACAGGATGGGATGGGAGGGGGTGCTGGGGCTCCAAGGCTCTGAGTGAAAGGTGAACGAAGCAGCGCTGTAGTTTGCCTTCACAGTCTGCAGTTAAAATGGAGCCTGCAGCAACATCGCCCGACAGCTGAGCCACTAGAACTAGAGAAGGCAAGGGAGACAGCCAGCCACGTCCCCGGGCTCCAGAAAGACTACTTTTCCCACCTTGCATTAAAAAAGAAATAGCCCACACCATCAGGGAAGAGTTTCACAACACAGAGTCCTCAGCTAATCAATGCAAGCAATGTGCCACTATTTCTAGAATCCTAAAATTCAAGAGGGTGACATCATTTTTGTTCTTTGAACTTGCCTGCCTCTACATTTGCTTTTTTTTTTTTTGCTTAAAACATCCCACCAGACCACCCTTTGGCTTCAGGGACAAAGCAGATCGGTCCACTTCCACCACCCTGTTCTGTCTGTCACTTGCCTGTCTTAGCACTGTCTACTTTACCCTGTCCCTGGCATTTCAGTACCTGTTTTCTTTCCTCTTTTGGAATATTAACTTCTGAAATACAGTGGAAGACCAGGCTAATCTTTCACCCAAGCATTGGAGCACTTGGAAAGGCAGCTTGGGCAGGGAGTGTAAGTCAGTGACCGACCGACCGACCGAGGGCTGGTCCTAGACTTGATCCCTAGGACCACAGAAACAACAGCAAAACCCCCACAGTGCCTTGCATGTTTTGTGTGTGGTGAATAAATTAACTTGATGCCATATTTTATACTTAAGGAAATCAAGGCTTACTAAAGGAAGTCCCCAAGGTCACACATGCCTCAAACCCATGATCCTCCCTGCTTCAGCCTCCTGAGGGCTGAGATTACCTACATGTGTGAGGCACCATGCCCAGCTACTTCATGTGGCTGTAATTGTTCCCACATTTACACTTTTTATCTCTTCCTGGCTAAGAGTCTTTAGGAAGCCTGGCGGTGGTGGTGGTGGTGGTGGTGGTGGTGGTGGTGGTGGCACACACCTTTAATCCCAGTACTTGGGAGGCAGAGGCAGGTGGATCTCTGTGAGTTAGAGGCCAGCCTGGTCTGCAGAGCAAGTTCCAGGACAGCCAGGGCTGTTATACAGAGAAACCCTGTCTCAAAAACAAAACAAAACAAAACAAAAAACAAAAAAACCAAACAACAACAGAGTCTTTAGGAACTGTAGTACCCTATGTAAGGCACATCAAGTCCTAACATCACCTACCTTCTCTTTCTTCTGATGGGACCATACCATGCCATAGGCAATGAGGATGTGCCACTGAGGAAGATGTGTTCAGGAACCACCTGCCCTCAAGTGATTTATGAGTGAGTAGCATAAAGTCCTCTTTAAAGACAGGCTGCTCTCACTCCATGTCCAAAGAACAGTTTTCCCGCTGAAGATGTGGAGAAGTCAGACTGCCCACCCCCAAGCATTCTGACAGTTTATTCCTCCTTGTAGCTTTCTTGTCTTGTTCCTGTCTCCACACCTGAGAGGATCTGGGTCCCAGGTGGGGTTGAGAAACTGCCCAGTGTATGTATCTGTTCTCTGTAATTATGTTTCCAGGCATTAAACTTTCCAAAGCCCCCTTCCCATGGGATTGCAGTAGCTGACCCTGATCTGGGACACTGGATCCGAAGCCACACCATTGAGATGGAAGTGACCATACAGCCCTGGTTCCTTACTATCTACTGTCAGTGGGCAAGGCTAATGCTCATGATGAGCAGAAGCTAGACCTTTCCAGAACTTTGATACTTCTTTTCACTGTACATAAAAATACAAAAAAATCATCCACTGACAGTTTCTAAGGATGCTGGGTAGTATTTACAGCCATCTTGACATCTGAAATGACACCAATTAGGTCTTGGACATTTACCAAAAGTGTTTGACCTCTGCCATGTCACTTAAAGATGCTCACCCACCCCAGGTTACTAAGATCCTTCCTTGTTTCCAGTTGCAGGTACCAAACAGTGATGCTTCAAAAACCAGGGACATGTTACAAAAACACTTCCTTCAGTGTCTGCCTTTCAATAGTTAGAAACCTTGATTCCACTGAGAGGCCTGGTGGGAAGGCCTTAGCCTCTTGGGGGTGGCAGTGGCTGCCAAGCAAAAGAGCCAATCAGCTTCAGAGTATTGTTTAGGCTGGACTTGGCTGCTGTCCAGCTCTGAAAGAAGGTTAAGGTCATTTGGGGGTGGGGGTAGGGGAGGGAGGAGCCTGGGAAAAGAACTACTGGCCACACCCGGGGTTCTCTACTGGCCAGGTTCTATTTACTTCTCAAAAGCCAATTACTCACAGCTCAGTGGTCGGCAGTTCTCTTGGCCAGTGGTAACTCCAGTCAGAAACTGGAGACTGGGCTAGGCGGTCCTCGAATTGCAGAAGAGCAGATTAAAGAAACCCAGGAGACAGAACTCCTAGGTAATGCTCCACACAGTCCAGAAATGCACTTTCTAGATTGGAAAGTTCGAGTTCAAGGTCCATAGCAAAAATAGTGATTAGCAGTCTTACTAAATAAAAGAAAGATATGAAAAGCACCGTCCTTTTGTTTCTAAGAAACTGTCTTGGTTGACAAGGGTTTTCTCCCTCAGGAAGTACTAATTTGCCATTCCTGTCCCTGACTAAATATTAACAGCCACACCAAGTTTGATGAGTGCTTGACTAAAATTCTGGAGACACTTTTGCCTCATGCCAAATACAATAGAAACCACTCTCCCTAAAGCCTGCTGTGGATGGAGTAAGGGTGGTGTGGTACTGGAAGAACTTCAGCCGTGGTCAGGTGGGCCTTGTTTTGCATATGAAAGGGAGCGATTGCACTTACCTCCTAGACACAGGGCTGTCCCAGGAATATCTGCAACATATTTTGTTCAGCAAATATGCAGTGGAAAACTGTCTCAGGTTTCACTGAAGTGTTTACAATCATATTTTGTTAGTATCTCTGATGTCGCTGGAAAAAATATGAACTTTAATTTTCTTCTCTTTCCTAAGGGAAAGGAGGATGAGTAGAGAAGGATGAACAGAAAGGGGACGTCACAGTATTGACCTAAAAGCAGCTGCATCTGCCACTGGGACGCCATTTGATTGGTTTGTTTGTTTTTTGTTTTTTGAGACAGGGTTTCTCTGTGTAGCTTTAGGCCTTTCCTGGAACTCACTCTGTAGCCCAGGCTGGCCTCGAACTCACAGAGATCCGCCTGGCTCTGCCTCCTGAGTGCTGGGATTAAAGGCGTGTGCCACCACCGCCTGGCCACTTGGTTTTTAAGTTGGTATCATGTGCCAGGATGCATGTCAGAAAAGGACTGAGCAGTGAGCATCACAAACTGTTTACATTCCAGTGGACAAAAAAACAGTGGGCTGGATGCTGACAAGTGCTGACAGAAAAGCCAGAAAGAACCTAAGTCAGGGAGCGCAGATTGGCTTTTATTATTATTTTAACTGACATTCTAATTTTTTTTTTCCTTTTTTTTGGTTTTTCGAGACAGGGTTTCTCTGTGTAACAGACCTGGCTGTCATGGAACTCTCTTTGTAGATCAGGCTGCCTTCGAACTCATACTGTCTGCCTTGGCCTCTCGAGGCATGCACCACTATGCCCATTTTTTTCTTTTTTTTTTCTGGAGACGGTCTTACCATGTAGATCCAGTTGACCTATAAGTCCAGGCAGTCTAGCCTCAAACTCAAACATAGTCACCTGCCTCTGCCTGAGAGCTAGGACTTAAGGTGTATGTCACTACACCCAGGGGTTCACGATTTTTACCAACTCTTAAGCATTGCACAGGTTCTGATTTTAAAGGGGTCATTGTGGTAGTTGTATTATAGGTTTGTACCCAAGCACAGCACAAGAGAAGGTTAAGAATCTGGGAAAGAAGTTGACAGTGTCATGAGCTCTGGTGCCAGTGGCCGGACTGAGGGTGATTTCAAGGGTGTTGTGGTAGCACACAGTGCTAACCTTTAGTCTCAGGAGGCAGGGCGAGGATCTCTGTGAGGTCCAGGCCCGCCTATCTACAATGAGAGTTCCAGGATAGAGAGAACTATACAGTGAGACCCTATCTCAAAATCACAAAAACAGCAAACAAAAACCAAAAAGGAATGAGTTAAGGAATGTTTCTGGCCAAAGTTGGAAGGTTGGACCTGCCATTTACTGCAAAAACTGAGAAAAATAGGCTTCCCCATAGACATTCCCACTCAAGTTCTCAGTAGTGATGCTGAAGAGTCAAGTTTGGAGTCAAGAAAGCCAAAATGCAGATCCAAGTGGTAGAGGCCGCTTCTAGGAAAATGGCCCTTAATAACAATTTCTAAAAGAACCTCCCCTTCGTCAACCATGGGTGGAGGAGGCCACCATGCTAGGAGAGCACATAAAGGAGAGCAGGGCCCTGCAAAAGGTCAAGGTCTCATTCTTTTCCGAAACAGTCTCACTGGCTGTCCTGGAACTGTAGACCAGGCTGGCCTCAAACTCAGAAAATCCAGCCCCCTGCTTCCCGAGTGCTGTGATTAAAGGAGTGTGCTCCTATGCCCAGCTTTTGTTATTTTAGAAAGATTGGCTGAAGATTTTGTTGTTATGTGTGTGAGTATTTTGCCTGCATGTATGCATGGTGCACCCTCTGTGTGCCTGGAGACCATGGAGTCAGAACAGGGTGTTGAATCACCCCTGGAACTGGAGTTCCAGATGGTTGGGAGCCACCATGTGGGTGCTGAGAATCAAACCTGGGTCCTTTGTAAAAGCAAGTGCTCTTAATCACTGAGCCATCTCTCCGGCCCTGGTTAGATTTAGTTTTAACTATGTGTGTGTGGGTCTGTGGATGTCAGTATAGGTGTCTATGGCCCGAGTCAGAGGTGTCAGGTCCCATGGAGTTGAACAGGAGGTTATGAGCCACCCAAACATGGGTCCTCCTAACTGCTGAGTCAAATGCCAGCCACAGGTAAAGCTCTTAAATAATTTGAAAATAAAAAAGCCTCACAAAGTCTTACCAAGATTTAATGTACATTTATTCTTAACACGTGGAACATATAGTATAAAGATTTCATACTGAATAAATGATATTCATTAAGCCAAAAAAGGAAAAAAAGGAGGAATTTACATCAAGTTTTTAGCTACATTGTTGAAATACAAATATGCAGATTTTATCACTGAAAAAATCTCAATTGTGTTTCTTCATCAGGAACTTCAACTGAACCTAGAACTTTTTCACACCTCGATTAGAAAGGAAACAAAACAAAACAAAAACCCAGAAAAAATAAACTATAAGTTGATTGGCTGCCGAGACAGCAAGGACTTTTTACAGAGACCTGTACAGCACCGCACCAAGAGGGGCGATGTCTGGCAAGAGATTAAATAGCTGTGTCTCGCTTTGTGCAGGTCACCAACTTGTTAACTCGTCATACTATAAAGGGGCAGCGGGAAGGGGACCGAACTGTGGAGGTTCAGGGGTATGTGCAATGTACAACATCGTATATACACACGCGTGGCAGCAGAGCCGCTGCAGCTAAAGGTTAAAACCAGTTCTAAGAGGTGATCTCAGGGTTATTCATACAATCAAGGAGGAGAGAAAGAGGTCAGGGTGTTGTAGGTTCACACATGATACTTTGGGGGAAAAGCCTTTTTTTTTTCTCCTCAACATTTAACTAAAAACATTTTTAAAAACTACAGCTTGCTGCTGAGCCAGCGTCCTCTCTCATTTCCAGGTGAGACATTATTATTACAGTATGTTTACAGTATCAGGTGTACAGTACAGTACATGAAGGGTCTACACTCTACTGCACAGGCCTCTCCAGTGAACAGGGGCTGCTCACAACTGCCAACTTCTCGGCTCCTGCGAGATTGTGAATGGACAGCAATAAACCACACAGTTCAGCAGTCACCTTTTGTCCTTCAGGGTTTTTTTGTATTTTTTTCCTTTTTTTTTTAACCATTAAAAACAGTTATGAAATGTGGCATCCCGTT